CCTCTAAGGAACCAATACCATTTCTCTTTAGGAGTGCTGACTAGCTGGAGACATACCTGGTAAGAGTTGTAAACTTCACCTCATATTGTATCACTATCATGCTCCCTTGAACTAATCATACGAATAACTCCTGCATCTGCTATCAGAAAGATGGTGACATAAACTAACTCCTGAATGTCTTCATAAAGTCTTCCTACGAAATCTCTACATTCGTCTTGCTTTGAAATTTCCATATGTTAGCTTACCCACCAGCGCTCTACCTCTCCATTTAATATGAACACAACTAAAAAATCCTTAAATTTATCATAATATTCATTTTATTAATAAAATATTATATTATGTATAGAACGATTGGCATGTCCCGATGCATGCTTATAATTTTACTTCTACTTATGCCTCCCACAGTCTATCTTCTCTAAGCGAAGGAGACCCTTCTGAATCCCCTTATAACTCCACTTTCACTTATGTCTCCCTTAAATCTCCCACACCCGCATAAAGTGGATGGGGTCAAAAATAATCTTGCACATTCGTTTAGGACATATGGGGCCAAAATCAGATGTAGAATATAACAAAAAGTTGGACCCGCATTATAGAATTTATAGTGCACTTTATCAGTATCTCACATCAAACCATCCGTCATATGATCACAAATGTATATATAGAACTTATTAGGAAAGTTGCTATTTATATGTTTTACATTCTTGCAACTTGTATAGTTTTTGATGATTCCAAATATTATTATTTTATGTATTGTTATCTCCTAACATATTTTGAAAGATTTATTTTTGCTCTTGTGTGGACTAACATTTTAGGATAATCGAACTCCAGACAAACGAAGACTTCAAAATCAATTCATCATGAAATACTTTAGGATTTGAAGCTTGTACTTTTCTTTGAAATAAACTTGAAAGTGAGTGATTGTAAATTGAGTGAATTAAAACACACACACTTAAGGAGATCTTAAATATTTTGTACTGATTGTACGGGACGAACATAGTTCGTACGGGATGATCACGTCAATTATCTCCTCGTAAGAACAATGGAATGAATAGGAACTGAAGAAAAATATTTTTTCTAAGTTCTGATCGTCCAGGACGAAATATTTTCTTCCCAGGACGAAGGGAACCGACTATGGCAGCTTCTGGCAATGTTCTACAATTTTCAGAACCGACCTTTGATATAACTGTTCGTACCGGACAAAATATTTCATCCCGGGACGAAATTGGTTCGTACTGATGAACAAATGGTTCGTACGGGACAGTTTTTTACACAGTTCGTCTGGTCCACTGCATAGAAAAACTTAAAATTAGCAATTTTTTGGACGGTTTTTCATGTCCTTTCTATATAAGGAGTCCTAGAAACTATTACAAGTGCCTTTGGAGTTGTTTTCTCTTGAGAGAGATCATTGAGTGTGAGTGTTTAGGAGAGATTGTAAGGGTGAAGAGTGAGAGATCAAGTGAGGGATTTGTGAGGGATTCACAAGGTTACTTAAAGAAGAAGATCTCTATGTTTCTGCCAATCTTCTCTGGAGGCTCTCAAGTGAAGTTCAACAACATCGGTCCGGTTCTCTGCCTTGTGTAAAAAATTGTCCCGTACGAACCATTTGTTGAAATACTCATAATACTCAACGATCTCAGTTTAAGTTGTAATTCAGCTCAATACTCAGAGTTATGGAAAATGATGAGCCATTGTGTCTTCGTTCTTTTGGAGAAAACTAGAAGAGAGAACTTGAAAGGGAGATAAGAAAGGGTGGAGTTTGAGAGGGAGAAGATCCTTGAAGGGGATTTCAAGGGAGTGTGGAGGGGATATTCACACGGTTGCTCCGACGAACTTACACCTCAGTACCATCGGATTCAAGGGTCATCTTGAGGGAAGTTTTGGAGAGAAAAAGATCTCTTTGGTGTCAAAGAACCCAGCTACTTCGCCGCACCGGGGAAGGTGAAAGTGATTTTGTACAGGCTTCTCCGCCTTGCGTTGGGGGCAAAAGGAGAGTCACTTTGTGGTATTAGTGCAATACTCGGAGGGTGCCACTGGGGAGTGGACGTAGGTCAAGGTTTGACCGAACCACTATAAATCTGGTGTGTTCTTTCTTATTTTTCTTCCGCATTTAATTTCATTGCAAGTTGTTTACTCTGGTTGAAAAGTTTATTTTTTAAACTTTAAATTTAACTTGCATTAATAATTAAAAAGGTTTTCTAAAAATCCAAGATTATAAGTATAATTTTTAAATTACCAATTCATCCCCCCTCTTGGTTAGCCTTGGAACATTTAATTAGGCTTAACATCCTAACTCTTATTGAACGAGTTCCAACAGAACTTTACAGAAATAACAAATACATAGGAAGTGGAGCATGCTCATGAATGTAGGTATACAACAGTTTAGAGAATGATGCACATATATCTTATCCTAGTGTTTTTTTTTTTTTAACATTCACCCATTTAAGGAATTAATTATAGTTAAGCTTTAAAATATTATTTTTAGGCTTTTGGGGAATTATAATGGATTAATGACCTTAATATAAAACACTCAAAGTTTTACATGGATTAACTGGTGCAAACTTTATGTCTTATAGTCGAAATGTTTAGAATTGAGCCTTTTACTACATACTAAAAGTTACATGATATAATATTAATTATACTCAATAAAGTACATTTTTTAATCTTTATCCCTTATATATAAATACCAGAATTGAAATAAAAAAGTTGGGTATTAGGAGCCTACCTTAAGCACGACAATTCCCTTAATTGGCCCAACAGATGAATCCCGAGCTAAGGCCTCTAAATCTCTCTCTCCTCTTTCTTCTTCGGCAGCTAATCGAAGGCGGAGGAGAGGGTGGTGGTGGGGGGATTTTATTTTTGATATTTTATATAAAATATATATTTTTTAGTGCTCTGCGCTGTGATGCTCAACATTGCAATGTCATTATGCTCGGCTGGAATATTTTAGATTCTCCTACATTCCTCTAAACCAAGAGCTCAAAGTCGAGGTGACAACACCCAACACTCCCTTAATTCTCACCACTATACAGAGAGGACAACACCTTGGCGTCGCCACTATCAGGCCTTTAAGGCCCTTTGATCTCTTATTTTCCTTATCTATTTCATTTCTAAACTTATTTGGGCTTAAATTAAACATTATAAAATTTAGTATTTCAAAATGAATCGAAGCAAATTCAAATTCATACCAGATTAGGTAAGTCGAACAAGTTCCATAACAACATGCATTACAATTGATAATAACATCGATGCTTACTATCACAAATAAGTTTTATGGTTGCTATTGAAAACATTAATACCCATCATTGCCCACCATCGACAAAAATGTCAATAGATATATTCTCAAATAAAGTTGTTGCCATCAACACCGATGATCATCTTCATTAACTCTAACGCCGCCACTCTTTGTCCCCAACAACACCAACATTTATCATTGACACAAACTTAGATTCTTGCTGTTGCCAACAATGATGACTCTTATTGGCACCAAGCTCCAATAACATTGCCACTCGTTATTGTCATTGTAGTATTGATGCTCGAATGCCAACACTAATATGAACATATTTTTTATCATTAACATCATTGACGATCATAAACATTAACATCAATGTTTCCTTGTCGCCAACAAAGTAACACCAAAATCACTAACAAGATCAATACCCTCAATTAAAACCAATGCCAACATTCATTATCGCCACCAAGCTTAGCACCTGTCATCGCCACCAATCATCACTACTTAACTCGGTGCCTCTCTTAATAATTGGCATCTCCTCACTAAAAGAAAATTGACAAAACAAACCGATTAGTATCTTTTAATGGAAACTTCAAAGAACCTCTCCACTTCCATCATTGGACTTATTTTTCAATAATTTATGTCTATTATATTATATTAATATGTTTTTTTTTTAAATTATGACATAAAATATATAATTTGTGACATGCAACTCACACAAGTGAAATCAATTTAACTTGAGTAAATTTAATATTTTTTCTTTTAAAATATTTCATATGAAAATTTTGTATTTTCTATTATTCTTTTAACTTAAATTAGAGAATAATGTGGAACATCTAAGTCATGGGAATGATTATTTTGTTTATTTTTTTCTTGTGTTATATTTAGGGCTATCAATTTTGGATCACGGGTCAGGTTCCAGTCAATCCTAGACCTTATGGACACTATTCGGGTCAACCCGAACCCGACCCGTTTTATAAATGGGTTGGCTTTTCAAACCCAAACCAACCCGATTCGAGTCCGAGTCTACCCAACACGACTCGAATGACTCGGGCCCGACCAAAAATTGCCAGTTTTCGGATAAAAAATGGGTCAATATCTGATTTTCGGATAAAAATTGTCAATCTAGGGCTTCTGGATCAAAAACGAGTTTTCAAGTAAAAAATAGGTCAATTTCAGCTTTACGGGTCAAACCAAATCCAACCCGATTTTTGAAATGAAATGATTTGTTAAACCGGAGCCCATGTGTCCGGGTTGATCATAACCTGAAATTTTTTGGGCGACTGAGTCTGATTCTCGGGTGTGTCAAATATAGGGGTAGGGGTGTCAATTTCAGGTCACGGGTCGGGTTCGGGTCGAACCCGAACTGACCCGAGTTCAAACGGGTCAACCCTAACCCGACCCGGGTAGACAAACGGGTCGAAAAATCGAACCCGGACCCGACCCGGCGGGTTGCCGGGTTGACACGACCCGAGGGTCGATTTCTGGAACCCGAACCCGACCCGTTTCGGGATTTGAAATCGGGTCGGGTTCAACCCGGATTTTCCGGGTCGGGTCCGGGTCGGGTTTTCGTGTCGTGTCAAATATTGACACCTCTATATAGGGGAGATTATTGTGAGTGAACACCAGACAGAAGAATCATCCGGTTCCACGTTCGGTACCGAGCGGTATCAAGCACGATATAATTTTAAAATGATGGGACATATTTTTATTGATCTCCCATTGAATTTGAACCCGTACTTAATAATTTTTTCAAAAATATAGGCACAACCATGTTTCACTTTTCGGGAATCAGGAAGTCCACTTGTTCTTCAGGAAGGGCAGGTGCAGCTTAGCCGACTTGCACCGCTCTCGTTCAAATGCCCTAGCTCGCGCTGTGTCCGTCTCTCTCTGGACTCTCTTCCGATCTTCCAAAGAAGTAGAACGCTTGCTGTTTATGAGTCCAATCCCTTGATCTTCCATAGCAGGTGTGTATCATTCTGCTATTATTTTGATTCTTGTTTAATACCTAAAATCGAGTTGATCTCATGTCAGAACTCTTTATTTTTACATTTATATATGTATTTTGTCAATCTCAACACTGTCGTCCTCATCAACACACCTCATCTTCGCGGTTTATCTGACTTTGTAACAGCTCGTTGTTAATGTAGTTTCATTTGTCGCAAATCAACCGTTTCTCGATGGATTCCAGGTGTTTGAAGGTAATGTGTGAATAGATATGGCATTTCGATCCTATTTCCGGGATTTTGCGGATAATATTTGGATTTTAAGTCTTTTTTTGTTATTTTATTGATTTAATTAAGGGCATGGGAATGAATTTGCTGCTTTCGCATTGTTTACTTGTAAATCTATTGTATTGTGGTTTGCTGAATTCGTTTTTCTGCTTTGGAACTGTAACCAGGCTTACATAATTTTGTGATGTGCAAATTTTGCGGTTCTTTGGAAAATGATCTGTGATGCTAGCGTCAAATTATGCAATGAATCCCTATTTCTCAAGTCAAAATATCATTTGGTGGAAATGCTTTATGTTGAAGTGTGTTTTTTTTTTCCAACCTTGGAGTTTAATGGAAATTATTGAAAGCATCGTTACAGAATTCTGAATTTGAATTTAACTTTATGGCAGTAACTGATTGGGCTTATGGATACACCCCCACCACAAGCTCCTGCGCAGTACTCTAGCTCTTTTTCACCCCCAAGCGTGACAACTGCTCGCCCTGAGAATAGAATAAATAGGCCTCCATTTTCCTCTCCACTAGCTACAAGACTTTCACCTCAGAGGTCCCTGCAGGACCAGCTTCTCTTATCTTCCTCTAGATCGATAGGCTCACCAGACACTGGTAGTGGTGTTTCGAGCAGTAGTCCACCAACCCAATTTAGCACTCCTCCAGGCCCTCCTATTTTCTCTTCGCCATTAAGGCCGGCAGCTGTTCCCTTCCAGACTTCACCTGCCAGTCCACAGCCAGTTGCTTTCTCATCTGGTTCGACCCTACCCACATCTTCACCGCCAAATTTCACGAATGGAACTACTCAATTTCCGCTACAATATACATCCGCTGTTGAAGAGACTATTGAATCGCCATATGTACTCTTCTCTGCTCACAAGGTACTGTTCTTTCCTTAATTTCTATTGAATTAAGATGATTTAATTCATACATTCTGTTTATTCAATTTGATATATGGATAAAGGGTAATAATTCTAGCTATTGTCTGTCGCATTTCCCCAAAAAATCCAGTTATGCAACCCTGAAAGAAAGAAATTGTTAGATTTTTCCTGATGGATAATTATCATTTCTTCCTAACTCTAGTTAGTTACTTCTGTTTTAGTTTTATGATCCTATTTATAATCATCATTCTCTTTTAATTGTGATAGGTGTTGAAACGTAAAAAGCAAGCAAATGTATCTAGCTTGGGATTTGGAGCTTTGGTGACCCCTGGGAAGGAGATAAATCCTGGCCCTCAAGTTGTTCAACGTGATGCTTACCGTTGCCAGAATTGTGGTGCTTATTCAAACATTTATTCAGAGGTTTTAATTAGTTCTGGTCAGTGGCAATGTGTAATCTGTAAGAGATTGAACAGCAGTGATGGGGAATATATTGCCGCTAGCAAGGAAGACTTGCGTCACCTGCCGGAATTCTCTTCACCGTCAATTGATTATGTTCAGTCTGGAAACAGGAGACCAGGATATGTTCCAGTTTCAGACTCAAGGATGTCTGCTCCTATATTTCTTGTCATTGATGAGTGCTTAGATGAAGCCCATCTCCAGCATTTGCAGGGCTCTTTGCACGCATTTGTTGATTCTCTTCCGCAGAATATGAGAATTGGTATTATTACTTATGGTCGGACAATATCCATTTATGATTTTTCGGAGGGTTCAGTAGCATCAGCTGATGTGCTTCCAGGTGGTAATTCACCCTCTGAAGAATCATTAAAAACATTGATTTATGGGACTGGAATATACTTATCGCCAATGCATGCATCACTTTCCGTAGTGCACACCATTTTTTCCTCTCTAAGACCATACAGACTTAATTTGCCAGAAGCAGTGAGGGACCGTTGCCTTGGTGCAGCTGTTGAGGCAGCAATGGCTATCATACAAGGTCCATCTGCAGATATGTCTCGTGGTATCATTAAAAGACCTGGAGGTAATTGCAGAATTTTGGTATGTGCAGGTGGTCCAAATACTTATGGCCCTGGGTCAGTTCCAAGCTTTTTGAGCCACCCTAACTATCCATACATGGAGAAAACAGCCATGAAGTGGATGGAACATCTTGGTCAAGGGGCGCATCGTAACAACATCATAGTTGATATACTATGTGCTGGAACTTGTCCCGTAAGAGTTCCAGTTTTGCAGCCATTGGCGAAGAGCTCTGGTGGTGTGCTTTTGCTTCATGATGATTTTGGGGAGGCTTTTGGTGTTAATTTGCAGAGAGCATCAATTCGTGCAGCTGGTTCACATGGATTGTTAGAGATACGCTGCTCAGATGATATTCTAGTGACTCAAGTAATTGGACCTGGGGAAGAGGCCCCTGCAGATGCTCATGAAACATTCAAAAATGATTCTTCATTTTGTATACAGATGCATAGTGTTGAAGAAACACAGAGCTTTTCCTTATCCATGGAAACCAAAGGCGACATTAGAAATGATTATGTTTATTTTCAATTTGCAGTTCGGTATTGGAATGTCTATCAGGCAGACATCTCTAGAGTGATCACAATGAGATTGCCCACTGTAGATAGTGTGTCACAATATCTTGGGAGCATCCAGGAAAATGTGGTTGCAGTGCTAATTGCTAAGAGGACTCTCCTGCATGCCAAAACTGCTGCTGATGCAATTGATATGAGAATAACAGTTGATGAGAGAATTAAGGATATTGCTTCAAAATTTGGTTTACTGTTACCAAAATCCAAGCTTGTTCGGTTCCCGAAGGAGTTATCTACATTGCCTGAGATGTTATTTCATCTTAGAAGAGGACCACTCCTTGGGAATATTGTTGGACATGAAGATGAAAGATCTGTTTTGAGAAATTTATACTTGAATGCGTCATATGAATTGTCTCTGCGTATGTTGGCACCTCTTTGCTTGATGCATCGTGAAGGAGGCACTTTTGAAGAGCTGCCAGCTTATGATCTTTCCATGCAGTCAAATTCTGCCGTTGTGCTCGATCACGGAACTGATGTCTTCATATGGCTAGTATGTATTTCTAGCCCCACACTTTACTTGATGTGCTGAATACACTTTGATTTTGATCTTTACTTTATAACTCCAGTATTGTTGTCTGTTGTCACTTGGTCACAACATGCGCTCAGTACATCACTAAATCACTTTTCTTCTTTCACACTTATTTGCAGCCGTTTAATTCTTTGAGTTGTACTTTATTTGCCTTTCTTTCATCCTGCATTACTTTTAATCTTAAAGATCTCTGATAAGAAGGCATGTCAGATGAATTTTGTTTTCTCAGTTTTGGTAGCGCTTGTTCTAGCTTTGTGATTTTAAACTTTATTTTCATTGTATCAATTTGATGAACAAAGGCTGAGCATGATTTGAAGGTATTATGTGAATGTGATGCAACACAAGAAATTCTATGTAATTTATTAGCTAATATCTCATTGTTTATTTCAGTTTTTAAGGATTTCTAGGTTTATTTTAGTTGAAATTAGGTTGAATTATCCATTGGATAATTTTTAGATTTGAATTTGAACTAGGATTATATTTAATTTTAATCTTATCTATGTACACCTATTTTTATAAATGGCGGCTATTGGCTTGTATTTTGATAAATTGATTGATAAATTAAAATAAAAACGTTATCTTTTATCCTCTCATTTCTCTCCATCAATGGACTTTGGGATCCCTTTCTTTCATTGCCTTCCATAAAAAGACTAAACTGTGATCTAGTCTGGCAATCACAATTGTCATCACAGTTGTCCACATCTTCTATTGCAGCTTACTTTCGAAGAATCAATTAAAAGTTTCTTATCATGTCACTCTCCTTCATTGGTTCCATTTCCATTGCGCTCACTTACTTGCACATATTGTTCTTCTCTGATGCTCATCACCCACTTGTTTTCCTTCCCTCGCTCTCGCATCCACCTAACTTGGCATGAGCTAGATGACTGTGCACCAACTTGTGACCACTTGTTGGATTCTCCTACATAAATTACGTCGTACACTACCCGCATGTTTTGATTTTGCATGAACCAACTTTCATGATCGCTTGTCCTCTGCATTTGTTGTATGCTACAGTCCCACTTGTGCTAAATATTTTTTTTGTCTCATCTTTGCTTATGCTTCATTGCAATCAACATTTTTACCGCAGACACCTTCCCAACCACAACTATCCATAGCCTTCTTCTGCAATTCCACCCTCCCGCAGCTCTCTCGGTCCAAGCACTCAAGCCATAGAGGGCTTCATCAAGCAATCCCGTAGGACACTAAGTTCTTCTCCATCTCATCCTCAAATCACATATCACAAGAAAGAATAATTACAATAATTTGGTATCATCACTTTCTTAAACCATAGTGTCAAGCATTCTGGATTTTTTGACATGGTTTCTTAGCTTCAAAATTGAATTGTTAAAGATGTATACTTTGTATGTGAAGATGCATAAAAAATACTAAAGTATGCTGGAGTTTCAAAATTCTCAATATTCACTATGGTTCTCAATATTCACAATGGAGCCAATTTTATTATTTTGTTGCCATGTTTATTCAAGTTCATAAACATCTCCTTTGGAATTTTTCTTAATAAGATTTAGATCTAGCTTGGCTTGTATCAATTTCATAAGTCAAGACATCTATTCCACCTTAACAAGTATAAAAATTTAATCCTTATTTTGAGTTGTTCTAGGAAGATTATTATTGTGATAATCCAGATTCTACAAATGAACTTGATGATGGTCATGAGCAATCATTCGTAGTTTAGCCTGTTGATAAACTTGAGGTTCTGTTTGAGATCATTTTCCAGCAAATTGGAAATCATATTTGATCATGAGATTGAGATATCCTTTGTTGATTTGAAGATAGGATATGATGCACATGTTTTATTCCTCTTGCCAACTTCTCTAAAAGTGATTTTTGATCCACTTGTTCCAAAGTTATTTTTTGCTTCCTCATTGATAACGATTATTGAGTTCATGTTATTAGCTTTGCCACCGTCATATGAGTAGTGGATTTTTTATGGATTTGTTTTGAGAAAACATGCTGCATTGAGACATCTAGATTTGAAGCCTCCAGATTAGGCTTTTTTATGTCCACTTTACACATGCTTAAGATTCAAAGGTTGTTCATGAAGCAATTCATTCACTTCCACTATGACCATTAGACTTCTAGGCAAATGGCTTTTGCGTAACTTTCAATGAAAAGAGTTTTATCCTGTATATGAGAACTGATGCAACACAACATACTATGTATGCTTTATTTTCTAATATTTTAAGATTTATTTTTGTTTGATAGAATTTTAAGATTTACTGAAATTTGAAGAAGGAGAACATTGTTATACCATGAGTAAATCAAGTTTCCCAATCAACTTGATTTTTCATTGGATCCAAGGCCTCTGAAAATGAGCTTTCTCTTTCTACTCTCTCTTTTCCTTTCCTTATCTTTTGCCAATGACTGATAATGGAGAAATGGCATGAAAATGGCTTAAGATGAGAAATGCAGGGGAAAAGTGTTCATTGACCAAGTTATTTAATTTAGTAGGAATTTAAGTCGCATAGGAAACTACTGCCTAAATCAATACAAGACTCTTAAAATTATGAAAAAATTGCATAAGATACGACATTGAGTCCCGAGCACTGGCAAAATTTATTTGCAAAATAAACGTTCTTCAGCTTTAGAAAGTGCTATCTTCCACGCCTATGCGAAAGTGCTATCAAAATTTATTGAATCATTAACAGTTTGTTGACCTAATTGTACATACGATTAGAGCTTCATACATATGATTGATGTAGAGTGAAATATTTTAATTTACATTGTGGTATGCATATGGGGGTGACTTACGGGTCAAAACATACTTATATATGAAATTGAATTTTCATAAAATTTGAGGTGCACTCAAACATAGTTCAGTTCAGGCTACATAGGAATATCGGGTCACTATATATGTGGGTGTTAAGCTTCCACATCAATCAAATGTTGTTCTCCAAATTCCTATTCAGACTAAACCTTAGAACATGCAGTCCAAACCAAGAACATCTTAATTAGATAATCACATGCTACTAAGTATAATTACTCATATAGAAAAACTCGCTTTCATTTAAGGTCACAACACAATATTTTAATTGTTTTGCTGACTATCAGATACAAACATTTGAGGAGTATATCTCAATTTCATTGAACAGCTGTCATATCACTCCCCACCTCAGAAATAAATTACAATTTCAGAATGTTCTTTCTAACTGCAGTTAATCTTAATAATGACGACTTCCTTTGATCCCCAACTTGTCAAATTAGTATTATTGTCACTCATTGAAAACCTTGATTCCAATACAAACAAGTTTATCATCAAGCCAACTGATCTATCCAACTATGATTGTATTTATGAAATGCATCAATGATTTACATAAATAACCAAATCCTACTCAAACTTAAAAATAATCTAGCTAGTCAAACAAATTGATACTAGTTTCTAGACTCCAAAACATCGCCAATTTTTATATACAATTCAGCATACAATGGAAAACATAACCTCATGCATTAATAATTCAATATATATTTCATTTTAACAAATATTCACCTCAATTTGTTGAAATTAATTACAATGAACGAATTAGTTTTAAATACTTCATGTGTGACATCCTTGGAAATTGATCAAACTCGAACCCAACTCAGTCTTACTATACTTCTGAAATTTTATATCAAATTACTAACACTTTGTGTAAGTTTTTTTAATCCATACTAATCTGATAGAGTAAGAATTCTACTAAGGATTCAAATAATTGTATCATATCCAAGCTATTAATTCAATCAGTCACACTACTTCCAATAATAAGGATGGTAACCCAAATAACTACAAATCCAGTTATCAACATTCTACCAAGTTAGCTATATAGACCCATGCCATCTATTAACCATTTGATATGCTTCTTGGAGGGCAAAAAGTGAGGTACCTTTAAAGTTGGTGTAGACTTCTAAGAGGGAAAGAAGGAGAGGAAACTAATATTTTTTTCATTCAAGCTATTTGATTACAATATGGATTATTTATACTACTTAGTTAGACCAAGTTTACAAGATATATATAGTCTATCTAATACATATCTTAAAATAAAATAGATTGATTCGATCTACCTCACTAAAGTTACAAAAATAAAGTAAAGCACATTATATATTTGTAGACCACTTTTTTATGTTACCAATCTTGACTATTTTGGAGTTCTTCTTTTTCTTTGGTAGACTATGTTTATTGTTGGTTGGCCCTTCATATTGGTAGCCTATTCTTCACAATTTGCTTGTACCATTTTAGGATCCAATAAAATATATTGAGTTTTAATACTCCCGTCATATTGAAAAACAACCTTATCTTCAAGTTTGAGGAAGCAAAGAACGAAGAGTGCTGTAAAATTTTCTCATGTGGCATTCTCAGTGTATTTAATTTCCATTGCAACAAGACTTGGCGTTGAGATTGACCACAAATCTTTATAATGCAGGATGCTAAAATGGAATAAGGAACATTGAGTGGTTGATCATTATAAGTAAGATTTGACAATGTGAATTGAGTCAACGGAAGGGCTCCTTTAAATGGTTTAAAAAGAGAAATGTGAGAAACATGATGAATTTTGCTATTAGGAGGAAGGTTTAGGAAGTAAGCCACCGGGCTAATAACCTCTTGAATTGAAAGTTCCAAAATATCATTTAGCTAATTTGGAATGTGTTCGGCGGACAATGAAATTTTGCTTGAAAAGTTGTAGTTTAACCATGACTAGATCTCCTATTGAGAACTGCAAATCCCTTCGTTAACGATTTGCCATTATTTTCATGTGATTTTAAGCTTGAGACATTCTGATGAAGGTGCTGTAAAAGGGTTTCATGGTTTGTTAATGAGGTGTCTACAGCGTAAATGTTAGAAGTACCATAAAGATATATGGGAGTTGATGGAGGTAATTGATCATATAGAGCTTGATAAGGGGTCATTTGAATAGCCATATGAAAAGAAGTATTATAACAAAGTTCAACCCAACAAAGAAATACAGACC